TCGTAATGCACCAGCTCCACTGTCTCTGCAGTGCCCTGTGCTGACTCGGGGCTCTCTGGCATCTCCTCCTGTGCCAACACCTGGCTGAGAGAGACCTGGCGTTGGAACTCTGCCTTGGGCAACGTGGCGATCTCAAAGTGGGGGAAGCGAGCCTGGAATATGCGGGAGGACAGCTTCAGCCGCTTGAGCACGTCAGAGAACAGGAACCAGTTGCAGGGCCTGTGAGGATGGCAAGAGAACTGTGGGTTAGGGGTGGAGGGGTCCATGGGCACGTTGCCCACCTCACCACCTCCAGTGAGATCCATGGTCTCCTGGGGTCTGGACAGACCACGCGTAGGTGACCTCGCCTGGGTTTGATGGCTGCTTTGCAGGTCACATCTTTGCAAAGCACCCAAAGCAAGACAGGGACCTTGGTGTGAAAGTTACACCTTCAAAGCTGTCCATAAGCACCCTCACCCTGAGGTAAGCCACACCAGGGACTCCATTTTCCACCCAGCCATTTCTCCTGGATGCTGGCACGTGTCCCTCTTGGCCAAGGTGAAATTGGTGGCACAGAAATTCACTCAACAAAAAAAAGTAGCATTTCTGTGCCTGCCTCTTCTTCCAAGTCACCCTTCTCCTCCCTGAAGTCCAAGCAAAGGCAATAGCCACAGTGTCACAGGAGGTGCAGGAGGGAGGACTGACACAAACCCAACCGCCTTTCTGGCTTTACCTGTTCTGCTGCTTCTTGGGTTTGTTTTAAAACAAGTCCTTTCTTAAATCTGTCCTTTCTTAAAACAAAGGGGTCTTTCCTTGCTTGGATCCCCCATGTATGGGTCTCCCTGCCCTGTAAGTCCCAAAGTCTTTCTCCTCTTTTCATTAATTCTGGAGGACAAGACCAAGGAAACCAAGGTCTAAGTGGAAGGTGTCCCTGCTGATGGCAGGGGGGTTGGAATTGGATGAGCTTGAAGGTCCCTTCCAGCCCAAACCAGTCTGGGATTCTATGAAACAGGGACTGAAGGACTTCACAGGCTTTGTGCTGTGCCAGCCATCAACGGTGCTGGAACTTCTCTAAGCATGTCCACACCATAGGAGTGCTCATCCAAACCAGTGTTCCCCCCAAGGTTCCTCCACAGTCACACCCAGTGGTTCACCTCAGCCTGATGTTCACACCTGCCCTCGTTTGGATAAATCCATCCCAGCATTAATGTCACCCAAATGCTCTTTGCTCCAGGAAAAGACACTCACCCTCGAGAGACAGACACTTGGAGGTTGTAGCTGGGAAGCAGTGGCTTGTCTGAGAATTCAAACATGAAGTTGTCTGCTTCTTGCTCTTCTTCCTCCTGGTCTGAACTTCCTGGAGGGTTGAGCAGAAGATCGTATCCAATGCTATCCTTCCCCTCTGCAACAAGCAAAATAGACATGGGCATTGCTGAGAGTTTCACACCAGCCTGTGCTCATCACTGACCACCACCAGACTGGCCACCACCACAATTTCACGTGCACCTTCCCACAAGGTCACAGCAACTGGAAGAGTCAAGTCCCAGGGGTTCCTCCTGCTCCTCATCTCGGAGGAACTGAGTGAACACTGGCTGCTCTGCACAGTGAGACAACACTGGCCGACCAGGTTTGCCAGAAAGAACATTGATGTCATCACAGGAACCTTCAGGTTTACCCTGATCCTGCACAGGAGACGAGGTTCTGCCTCTTGCTTACAAAATAAAACACATCAACTGACAGTTTTTTCTTGGGTCAACCACATGGTGACCCTCCCAGCCTCTCCCTGAAATGTCCTCAGTCCCATAGCTGGTTCTCAGCCTGGAAGAACCTGCACCAGAGAGGAAGGAGGTGGACATATGAGATGTTTTATCTGCATAGATCCTGTAAAGGAAGGCACAGGGTTCTGCTGCTCCACCCAGATGCCAGCAGGTTATCTAGGGATATGCTGAGATAATATGGGGGTAACTCCAAAAACATCCAGAAAATAGAGGTTTAGAGAGAAGTCAGATCAAATGTGCTGGTGAGGAGCAAATAAACCAATCATGCAAAAGTTCCAACACCACAAATGAGAGAAAAGACTTAAAAAAATTTAAAATCTTATGATGTGCTGCATGAAAAAGCTCCACACACCATAGTGCTCTGTGAACCCAGTGAGAATGTTATTGGAATGGAGAAACAACTGCAGATGACAGGAGACACGGGCTCAAAAAGGGTCTCAGGAAAAAATGAAATGAGATTATTTCGTAGTCCTGCCAAGAAAATTAAAAATTCCCTAAGAAATAAAAAAAAACAGGGTGCTGAAATCTTCAACACTTATTGTAGAATCAGATAAAAATCAGTGATGTGAACACTGGTCACTGCTAGGCAAAGCTCAGATGCCATCAGTAAAAAAAACCCCTCTCCAATTTCTTGAGCAATTAAAGAAAAAAGAGTGAAATACATTTAATATGGCAGCAATATGGTCCTGCAAACTCTTCCCACTCAATCCTGTCCAGGAGCTCGAGCGAAGGCTGCGATGAGAACAGGAACATCCTGTACCACTGCAGAGTAACTGGGGAGACAATCAGGGACAACAATGCTCCTCCCAGGTGTGGAACAACACCCTGGAGTGGGACCTCGTGTCTGGAGCTACAGGAGCACAGAGGGAGTGCAAGATGCTGATGACTTTACCATGCTCGGATCTCAGAGATCCCACACCCCTGGCTTCCCTCATTACCTTTCAGCCCCCAGAGATTTGCAGATCTAAAGGAAAATGTGGACAACGTTCCTGCCTCGAAGAATAGAAACAGATCCAGCAGGGACCTGGGATTTCTCCTTTGTCCTTCAGCTGGTGGATCTGATGGGAAGGGAAATTCTGAAGGACGTGAACCACCGAAGGAGGAGAACTGTTTGCTGCTGAGCTGGTTTGCTACCTGTGAGAGCTGGGAGCGGCTCCGTTACTCCAGAGCAAAACCAGGTACTTCCCTACCCTGGGGAATATCTGCTCTTGGTGACTCGAGGTGATGACTGAAGGTAACTGAGCCAAAAAGGGCTCATTTCAAAACACTCAGTAAACACCAGAGTAAAGAAACCAGCCCCTTGGCTCAGGCAGGGGCACCTCGCTCTTCCTTGCCAGCTCACACCAGGCAAACTAACGCTGCCTTTTCGCTGCTGCTGCTGTAAGCTGAGCTGGGTGTGGATGAAAAGAAAGCTCCTTTTCTTCTGTGCCCGCTGAAAACAGACCTGCCAGGATACAGGATTACTTCCCAGCTGGATTAATTCCTTGCCACGACTTGCCACGCAGTGTCACGGGCAGCACAGGGAATGCTCCATGCAAGGATGGGCAGCGTGACCCTCTGGCAGCAGCGTGGTGGTGCCTCTGCTTGGGATCTCTGCCATCCTCTCTCTGAGCCAGAGACCAACATGTCCCCCAAAGTCACAGGGTTTCAGAACGTTTGGTGCAGCTGACATTTCTCCAGGGATCATCAATCTCATGTCCAGGAGGAACCTACGTTCTCCCACTTACTGTGCAGAGGTAGCGGTTAAAGTCTGAAGAACCTGAGATGCAGCATCATCCCAACCAACACTGGAAGGATCTTGGGAGCAAGGATGAAATGACATTTCTAGGGAAGAGTACAAGCAGTGCCTGGCTTGTTAACCAACTCCAGGTAGCACAGGAGAGAATAAAGACAGAACCTGACAGATGGCACCATGTGAATGCCAGACCCAGGAGAGACACATCCACAGTGGTCAGGATTTGGTGTGAAGTCCCACTGGAAGAGGTGGGACATGGTTAACAGAGAAGGCAGTCTTTTTTTTCCACCCTCAAATGAAGAAATACTCTGAAAAGCTCGACTAAAGTCCAGGGAAAGTAAAAGATTTGCAATCCCCAACACTCCCTGTGGAGATTCTCTGTGTGTTGGCCAAGTTGCCATCACTAATGACATCCCAACACCCCTCACCCTCCCAAAAAACCACCAAAAGATGGTGATGGTTTGCCTACTGAAAAAAACCATCATCTCCCTCCTTTTGCCTGCAGGAGTGGAGGGCAGGAATGTAGGAAGACACGACAAGATTTTCTTAAGACAAGCTGAGGGATATGGAGATGAAAGAAAGAACTGAAACAAGCAGCTGATTTGAAGGGAACACAATCATCTCATTTTTCCAAGATCCACCTGTTTCATTTCAGGCATTAGGAGGTATGAAAAGCAAAACACCAAGATGGCACTTTTCTAAGTCTCCTAGAAGGTATGAGAACTGGCAGGCTACAATCCCATGCCAGGATCTTCAGGAGGAAAGGAGATGGATGAACAGGACATGAGCAGATAGTAGAACTCAAGCTCTCTGAGTAACCAAGAACCCAGGTAACCAGAGAGAGCCAAACTCTCCTACCCACAAAACCACAGAGCATTTTCCTTCCTTGTTCAGCAGAGAAATCCAAGTGGGAATCAGTGATAAATCAAAAGGGGTAATATCTTTACTTAAAAAAAAAATGTTACAATCAAAATAAAACCATTTTTCTTGTGGTAAAGAGGTTTCTTCTTAAAGGATTGTGATAGCTTCAAGAGTGAGAAATCCAGAAGAAGGAGGCTGAACAGTTTCCTTGGCATGTCTGAGGTGCAAAAGCCTATGAACAATGGAGTGCAGGGCTTCTTTTGTTCTGAAATGAAGAGATATCAGAGTCCTCCAAGGATAAGTCATCTACCAAGAGGATTTTTTTAATTTCTAGAAGGAAATGACAGAGGTGACATGACAGAGGTGACATGAGAGGAGAAATGAGAGGAGAAATGACAGAGGTGAGAAACTAAAAACCAACAGCCTTTTAGCTTGCCAGTGTAATTAACCTAGAAGTTCAAAACTTCTACACCTTGAAGGAATAAGTATGTCCTCTGCCTTCCTTGGCTTTGTCTTGATGACTGGTGACAGGGGGAGTGACAAGAATTGCTACAGGAACACCGTGCTCTGGGATTGATAACCAAAGACCCTCAGGAATCACCAGCAGCACCTTGGACTCTAGTCTTGCATGGTGTGTTCAGCCTCTTTGGAGGGATCCACACATGGAGCTTCCCAAAGAAAAAGTCCCACCATGTAACAACACTCTAAGATCTCCAAGATGTGAGTTAGGAGGGACAAGGACAGACCTGAGGGAATGATGTGTCATTACCCAGCATTATTCCTCTCTCTGCTCTGCTGTTGTCAATGAAATGGGCCAGACTGAACTCACCCAGTACAGAGCTGCTGTAGAAGTCCCACGCTGTTCGAGGATCTCCATCACTGCGTCCTTGGAGATCCAGAAGGTAATCTAAAGAGAAAAATAAATAAAAATGAGAGGGTTAATGCTTATCTGCTGGTCAAAGCACGATCCTGGCACACATATCCATCCATCCTGGGTGAGCCACTTCACCTCTGCTGCTTTTCCCCACTTTGCAGTTCTGCATTATGGCAAAAAATGAACCATAACTTGCAAGAAAAGTAAGGAGGAGGAGAGGACAACATGACCCCAGGCTTGAGAATATGAAATAGAAGCTTTTCAGACCAAGTGTGTTGGAAAGAAAGGTTCTCAGGGTTGTTTTGAGTTCAAAATTACACCCACCAACAACTGGATCTACAGTTGAGCTTGGAAGAGCAGAGACAGATAGCTGGTAAACAGGATTTTTTTTAAAGAAACTGGTGATTTTCTGCCTCGTATCTACCTGTGAAGCACCACTACTCTAGCTGTCTCTTCCTTGCTGTTGTGTAGAAGCCACAACACTCATCTTGGGGGAAGGCAGACATCACTCTCAGCCATAGGGATCCAAAAATGGTCCTTTCTAACAACAGTGGGCAGGCAGCATTTGGGCAGAGCTGTTTTCAAGCAGAAGGCATCATTACTTGGCAGCACAAGTATGTTCACTTCAGTCATACAGCAGAACCAGGAACTGTGGAACAGCATCTCCGAGCTTCATGCACAGCATCATCTTTAATTGTGTGACCAGGGCATTGCCATCTCCTTGCTCATTAAAGACTGAAAAGTGACTTGTATCTTACTTGGAAAACAATCTACAATTCTCTAATTAAAAACTGGGCGGTAAAAACACACACATGACAGGAGAGAGTTCAGATTACTCAGTCACCTGCTGCTCCAGCACTTCTAAACCCCTTGACACTCAGATTTGGTCCTGTGTGCTGCCAGATGGGGAAGATGGAAGCAACTGCCAACCCCAGGCTTGGCACCTACCACAGAGGAAACGCTTCATCACTTCGCTGGTGGCAAGCTTCACAGCTGTCTGCCCAGAATAAGTGGCCAGAGTGGGATCAGCACCATAGGAGAGAAGAAGCCACATGGTTTCCAGGTTGTCATTTGCGACTGCGTCGTGGACGGGCCTGCAAGGACAGAAGCATTGGCATAAAAAAAAGAGAAGAGATTGGAAGAGGTGGCAAAGCAAATGATCTGGTTTGGGTTAAGATAAATCTAATAGCAGCTTTCCAGTACCTGAAGGGGGCCTAGAAGAAAGCTGAGAAGGGACTTTGGCCAAGGGCAGGGAGTGACAGGACAAGGGGTGATGGCTTGAAAGTGGCAGAGGGGAGATGGAGCTGAGATGTGAGGAAGGAATTGTTTGGTGTGAGGGTGGTGAGACAGTGTCCCAGGTTGGCCAGAGAAGCTGTGGCTGCTCCTCCCTGGAAGTGTTTGTGGCCAGGCTGGATGAGGCTTTGAGCAACCTGGTCTAGTGGAAGGTGTCCCTGCTGCTGGCAGGGGGGGTGGGACCGGATGAGCTTTGAGATCCCTTCCAACCCAAACCAGTCTGGGATTCAATGATTCTATGACCTACAGCTCATCCTGAAAAACATGCCCTGCTCCCTGCCCCCCACCCCTTTCTCAGGGCTCCCCCAGACATCCCCCTCTCACTGCCCCACCGTGTGCCATCCTGAGCGCTGCAGTTCACGTTGGCTCCGTGCTCCAGCAGGATGTGGAGGATGTCGATCCAGCCTCGGGCGCAGGCTTCGTGCAGGGCCGTGTAGCCAGCGTTGTCGCGATGGTTCACGTCACTGCTCTTCTTCTGCAGGCAGTAGAGCACGACATCCTACAGGAAGGAGAGCATCACAGGCCTGGTTACACACAAACCCAGACAAAGAAGCACAGGGGATGAAGAAGAAGCCACCAAAATTCACCTTGTAGCCCAGGCGAGCTGCTCTCTGCAGAAGGGTCTCCCCTGCATTTTTGTTGACAATCAGCCTCCGAGCTCCAGGAGGAACGTTCTGGGCTGTGGGCACTTCAGGGGAACTCCCTGGGCTGACCCGACGTGACTTACAAAGTGTCCACAATTCTTGGGGCTTCTTCAGAGGCCGCATTTTGGGTTGGTTCCAGCAGCTTTTCCCCTGGAAAAAGAATACAACTCCTTGAAATACCACAGCTTACTACCAGGAGATCCCCCTTCTCCCTCTTCTCCCCATGCACGTCCCCCCTCATCGGTCCCAGCCGTACCTTCCCCTCATCACAGATCCCTGACAGGTGTTTGGTTTTACATTTGCGTTTTCCTGATGGTTTCTCCAGCTCTTCTTGGACAGGAGAGCTGTCAGAGTGCTCCAGGAAGAAGCCATTCCGAAAGTCTGGGCGTCCTTGAGATTTTCGGGGTGATGGGGAAAGCCTGCTCCTCAGTCTTAGCTCTGTCCCTTTACCCTGCACAGATTCCTTCTGCTTCCTGTACCTGAAATCTAAAGGAGAAACAGGAATGAGGAGCTTCTGTCCACCCAAGACCAGCAACTCAGACCTCTGTCACCAGGCAAAACATCTTTGATGGTTGCTCATCCAGAAATCCAGACCCACGGCAGAGCACCTGCCTTAGGAGGAGAGGCTGAGAGAGCTGGGACCCTTCAGCCTGGAGAAGAGCAGCCTGAGAGGGGATCTGATCAATGTCTATAAAGATCTGAAATGTGGGGGCCAAATGGACGGGGCCGGGCTCTTCTCGGTGGTGCCCAGTGACAGGACAAGGGGCAATGGGCACAAACTGGGACACTGGAAGTTCCAGACAAACTGAAGGAAAAACTTCTTTCCTGTGAGGGTGTTGGAGCCCTGGGACAGGCTGCCCAGAGAGGGTGTGGAGTCTCCATCTCTGGAGATGTTCAAACCCACCTGGATGTTTTCCTGTGTGACCTGGTGTAGG